TCTGTAGTATTTTTTTTTCATATAATAAAGTAGAGGATAAAGTATTCTTTTTTTATAAATAAATTTTCCCTTATATATATACTGTGGAGGATTGTCTAAAAAAGCAGAGAATAAAAAATGCATGGAATATTTGTTTTTTTGTCATACATATGATTCTTTGTTTTCTATACTTGTTTAGGAAACGAAAATTATTTGGAACAAAGATTATGTTATATAAAATCTAAATACGACTAGTAATCCAAAAATCCCTTCTTTGTTCTTTCATTTCCTCTAATTTAAAACGTCTTTTTATCCTTTTTATATTCAGTGTTTTTTTTTTTTTTTTTCTCTCTATTATGTTCAACAAATTTAGGGTGAATTTTTTTCCTCTCTCCAAGTTAATTAGCGTTACACCATAATGAAATCTGGGCCATAATATGATTTCCTCCCATCATATTTTTTAAAGCTGTGTAAATTTTTGGTTAAAAATGTGTAAGTTCGTATTAAGTGACTCAATTCAGCAAGCAGCTAACCAATGAGAAGATGCCACGTCAGGGTTGTGTGAGAGAAAGTTTGTGAGAAGAGATTCTCTACAACCTGACGTGGCAACTCATATTGGTCAGCTCAAAATGGGTTTGCCTACCTATTTACGAGTTAACCAATGACAAGATGCCACATCAGGGTTGTAAGAAAATTTGTGAGAAGAGGTTGTGAGTGTAGCATATATATGGGTGCGTTTGGTTTAGAATGTGTATTCGAGGATTTATATAACTGTGTTTGGTTAGATTGGAACAAATTGATGGTATTATATAGATTACATTGTCCCTTTTAAAATATTAATATAATATTTTTTTTTAATCATTTTTTAACCCCAACATTTGAGATTTCTAAAACACCCTAGCCACAAAAGTTTAATTTTTAACAAAAACACCCCACCCACCCAAGCCACTCAGTTGCCTAAAACACCGCTAGCTGTCAATCCGGAAGGTGCAACAGAGATGTTCTTTGAGGGGTTTTGAAGAGGAGGTGAAGGGGAGTCGATCGATGCAAGTAGGGGCATTTCCGTAGAAACGCAACCAAAAAGCATCGAAAAAAGGGAAATTGCAGAAAATAGTGGGCTTCGCCGAGATTGGGGGCAATTCCGGTGATGGGGTTTGGTGGGATTTGAAGTGGAAAATGAGAGGAGTAAGAGTGGTGGTGGTTAGGGGCCGACGGTGATGTCGGAATCAGCCTAGATCAAGCTTAATACGGGCAACTACCAAACCAAAAAATCCAGATCCACGGCCCTCGATATGGCCAGAAAAAATGCCATATCATGCACGACCAACAGTCGTGGGCATTCTGGCAACGTTGGCTGATGGGGGTGGTAGTGGTGGTGACTATTGCAGTAGGACTATGGGGGTATTTGGATCATATAATATTTTATTATAGGGGATATTATATTAACGGAACGATAGATCACCTTGAAGATTACTAGGAATGTTTAGAAAATGTGTTTGGTTGGTTCGAATAAATTGGTGAATAATATGTTTGGTTGAAAGGATAAATTGGTGGGTATGTTATATAAATTACTAAATTGCCCTCCTTTTTAAATATATATATTTTTTTAATCATTTCTTTTAACCCCTCACATTTGAAATTTTGCTAAAACACCCAAATTATATAAAACTTTAATTTATAGCAAAATCACCCTCACCCACCCCAAGCCATTGCTGGCAGCCAGCCAGCGACCGCCACCACCCATCGCCGATAGTCGACAAAATGGCGCACAACTGGCCATATATGGCCAACCGTGTGCCATGGATCACAAATCAATGGTCGTTTCACAACTAGATTTACTGTCATTTCATGGCTAAAGATGTGGTCGTGAAACGGCTAGATCTATAGTCGTTTCGTGGCCAGATATATGGCCATGATCTTTGGCGGTGAAACGGCCAAATCTGGTCGTTTCTAGCCATGCACAATTACGGTGACCGATGCCAGCGACCGACGATGGTGAGTAACGGCCGCAATGGTCTTGGGTGACTGGAAGTATTTTGTTAACTTTTAAACTTTTTTGTGGCTAGGGTGTTTTAGCTAATTTCTCAAATGTAGGGGGGCTAAGTAATTATTATTTGGTAGACATTTGAGGACAATTGTGTCCGAAATAATTTTTAAATATGGGCAAAATAGGTATAAAAATTAGATTACCCAATGATGTTTTAATCCCAAGAGTGGGGGAGAGTATTGATTACCCCCCACATTACTAGCAGTAAACACTATTTGCAATAAAAGATTTCCGTAGTATTTTATTACTTGCAAACCAAACACAAGAATCTTGCAAAATAAACGAAGATTACCCTCATTATCTTATATGCCCCCAATCCAAGCGCAACTCTCTATATATATATATTCTCTCTCTTGCCCTTCTTCTTCTTCTTCATTTATTTTTCTTCATTATCTTATATGCCCCCGATCCAAACNCAAAAATACTATTCAAAATAATAAAACAAACACACCCATAGGGTGCATTTGGTTCACGGTCATATAAGTATCTATCATCCCCAACCACTTAAACTGCCCCTAATGGATTTAAGTTGGTATGATCAAACAACTTACTCTAAAGGCTGTAGAATCTGAAGGTAGCTCTACTTCAAATTTGAAGGCTCTTATTGAGATTTTCACGTCCAAGAATTAATTAGAATTAGAAATGTTTAATTTTAATGCAGTAGCAAAATAAGATCAATTGTTCTTATTCAAGTTGTTGGTACGAGCACCAACATGTGTAGCAATTTATATTAACTCTGAATTCTTTTCTCTTTTATCTATATTTACATTGAATGTAATCGATGTTTATTAAAACCATTAATTAATTAATTAATTTTATATATATATTGACTTGGTAAGATTGTCCCAAGTAAGCATTTTTTATTGAAGAGAAAAATGTATATGGAAGAGTCTCTCCACCTCACTTTGCTGACATGGTGAGACCCTCCAATAATTTAATGTCATGTATTATTATATGAGTAATACTACAGTTACCGACGGGTGTATACCGAATTTGTACACCGAATGACGTGACAAAATCTTGACCGTTGATTTATTATCAGTTAATATTAATCAACGATCAGGATTTTGTCACGTATTCGGTGCACAAATTCGGTATAAACTTTTCGGTAACTCTATCATTTTCTATTATTATATATTTGCAAAATTCTCTCTCATCCACTTATCACCGTACATTAGCATATAACTATCCATTATCATTCATTGATGACAATCACCATGGTGGTTTTGAAAATTAAAATAGTAGATATCTTTGTTTAATTGAACAGTCTCACCAAGTGAAAAAAATGAGGTACTGAGGCTATCACGTATAAGTATTTGTCAATGACTCGTAGTATCATGTCAATAATACCACCTTTAATACACAGACTTTTAATACATATTTCACCGACAATTCTCTCAATTAATTTCTTCTCTACAGTTATAAATGCTTCTAAGATTTCCTTGCCTACCCACCAACAGCCATTGTCCTTCAACGTAGAATTCAATACTGACTTTTATTTAAGATCAATCAGAAAGTTAATGAGTTAGTTGCAACTTAAGAAATAATGGTATAAACTGAAGGTTGATTTTAGAGAGTACAATAGCTGTAAGGGAAGAAAAATAATTGAATAATTTTGATTTAAACTAAATTCACATGGACCCTCATTTATGCCTTTCATCGACAACCACTTAAATTGCCCCAGACAGATTTTACATTTTGGGGAAGAAAGTCTATTCAGTGGCCCTTCCAGATGAAATTTCATCCTACCAAATTGACAAAATGATTTTAACTAAATGAGATGACATTTATATGGAGTTAAATACATTCTGGTCCTAAGGGTGATTGTCATCAATGAATGATAATGGATAGTTATATGCTAATGCATGGTGATAAGTGGATGATAGAGAATTTTGCAAATATATAATAATACATGAGTACATGACATTACATTATTGGATGGTCTCACCACGTGAGTAAAGTGAGATGGAGAGACTCTTCCATATAGATTTTTCTCTTCAATAAAAAATACTTACATGGACAGTCTCACCAAATCTATATATATATATAAATTCCTACACATGTTAGTGCTCTTTCCAACAACTTAAATAAGAACAATTGATCTTATTTTGCTACTACATTAAAATTAAAACATTTCTGATACTAATTAATTCTTGGATGTGATAATCTCAACAAGAGCTTTGAAATTTGAAGTAGACCTACCTTCAGATTCCACAGCCTTAAAAGCAAGTTGTTTGAGCACACCAAATCCGTATGGGGCAATTTAAGTGGTTGGAGATGATAGACATGAATGAGGGCCATGTGAATTTAGTTTAATTAGTGGGATTGATTTATTTATTAAATGCAAGATTTATTCAATTACTTTTTGCCCTTACAACTATTACACTATAGTCAACCTTCATTTCTTAATTTGTAATAATTAATTCTCTTAACAACTAATTCGTTAACTGTTTGATTGAGCTTCAATAACAGTCACTATTGAATTATACTTTTTTGACCCTGCTCAATGTAAATTTTTAAGCGGGGAAAATTTCCTTAAAGCTCTAAATTGATTTACTTAGTACTAATTATTTTAGTATAATCTCCACTAATTCATGGTAACACTAGTTTTGACACAAATGAAAACCTATTTATAATTAAAAAAAAAAAAAGAAAATGCTTCAACGTTGGCCGCATCAATTTCTTTACATTATTGGTTTATTAATTGAGTGGCAAGTTTCATTAATAGCTAATGCATGCATAGCATTAATTGGATAACTTGTGTTGCAGTAGCCAGATCTAGCTAGTTCTAAGCTTCAATTCAAGTGATCATATATTTTCCAGATACTTGAATAAAATACAGGATATGATACATGGTTGATGAAAACAATTTTAAAGGAAAATAAATTATAATCATACATTATCATTAACAAAACGATATAATGAAATTTTGAAAAACTCAAGAGAAGATCGTAATTTCAATAAAAACTGCATAGTAGTCAAATCAATAATACTATATTTAGAAAAAAAATCTTACAAAGATTTGCATACAAAGTTTGCATACAAAGTGGGGTGGCAAAAAAATGAATGGAAGAGTGAAACAAAAAGTCAAACTCATTAAATTCTCTTTCATTTATTTTTTACCACATCACCTTGTATGAAAACCTTTGTAAAATTTCTTTGTAAGTTTAGCATTACTCAGCAATCAAATTGTGGTGATGATTTCAATTAGAGAATTGAAATTTGCAGTGGACCTACCTCCAGGCTCAACAGCCTGGAAAGCAAGTCTTTTAAGGGCAGCAACTTTTTCTCTCATCATCTTCCCTTTTTCAGAATACAAAATTGCTTCCAAGGCTTCCAGTATTCTATCTTTCGCGAAATTTCCCCCCTCAACACCCAACCCAATCCCCCATACTGTCTCCATTGTTCGCTGGTTCAGCCCTTGATCCGCGAAAAAAGCCCTGCAAATCATCGGCACGCCACCGATGATACTCTCCGTTATAGACTTCGCTCCGCCATGCGTCACAAACACCCCAACCGAAGAATGTTCCAGGATTTTTAACTGGGGAGCCCAGGGAACTATCTTTCCATAAGCGCTAGTCCTTTCTAAAAAGCCTTTGGGCAAATGTTCCTCCGGATTGCCTCTAAATGACCAAAGAAACTGAATCCTATTTTCCTCCAGTGCTTCAGCTAATGCTGCTAGCTCGGAAGGCGAAGGCGTAACCACACTACCGAAACTTATGTAGGCAACTGAAGATGTTTCACGTCCGTTTAACCATTCCAGACAGCCGTATTTATCAGAATCGGGAGGCGGCGGAGATGTTAAGATTAAGGGGCCAACGTTCAGAAAAATTTTCAGTCTTGACTTGATGGTGTCAACAACTGTAATGTCTAGTTCCTCAAAGGAGTTTATGGCAACCGCGGTTGCATTCGGCAGCATTTTTCCAACTCTGAGCAGCATAACTGAGAAAGGTGAATCTATTGATCCGGAGACGACTCCATCGGGAAGATCCACTGCACGTATTGTAGAAAATCCTGGAAGAAATTCAAGGGTTTGGTCTCCAGGTCCTGTATTGTAAGGAAAAAGAAAATTTCCATCCATGATTTATGAACTTTACTGACAAAGTGGAAACGCGAAAAAGGATAAAGGAAAAGCTATGACATAACCTATTTGAAACCAGTTACAGTTAAATACGCATACCGTTGATTCCCAACTGTTGCCTCAGATTATCTGTTTCAAGATGGACAAGCAGCGGACGAAGACCGCCGGTCCAGAACGGTAGCCAGGGAGCTTGCATTTCTTTTGCCATCTCCGCCGCGAACCAAAGAAACGCATCCGAGATCAAGCAGGAAATCTCCATCCCTGTCTCCACCACCGCCGTTTGAATAGCCCTCTGAAAATTCCCAGGTGTTGCCTTCAGAAAGTACTCCACTGCCACTCTCGGAGGGCCCTGGCCCTTGTGCACGTACCCTTCCGGTAATCCTGTGTCAACATCGTAGGGTTTTATGTTATCAAACTTTCCATCTTTTGGAAAATGCGAGGCATTAGACTGAGGCGTGCTGAAGAAAGAGAATATCAATTCTGGAGCAGCCTGTGAAAGCCTCTGGGTGAGGGAAAGAAGAGGGGCGACATGAGATGTAAAAGGAAATGTCAACACGGCTATGTGTTTTTGGCTTCTTTTGGCTTCTGCCATGGTTGATAGTGGCTAAGTTGCTAGACAAACTATTGATAATTTATTGAGAGCTGTGTGCATATCAGGCAGGGAAAGGCATATATATATATATATGATATGTTAAGGAGTCTCGTTCTAGAGAGTTGGTATTTATTGTTGAATTCATATTTGGGAAAATTAAAAATAACCTACCAAAGGTATAGGAAGTTCCCTCACATCCAGATGTTTTAGAAAATGACAATAGTCTACCCATTCGTTAACTAATACAATTACAAAAATACTTTTTGAACAATTACAAAAATACTTTTTGAACCCAAAACAATAACGTATTATACCCTAATTAACTAGTACAATTACAAAAGATTTTATTATAATTTCCCCATTAAGATGTCATAAAATATAAATTCTCCTCTTAGGTATTTTACTTAAAAATTTACCCTTTATAGTTACTGTTTTCGTTAGTATTTATGTCATCTTACTAATCCATTTTCATTTAATCCGTTAAATTAAACTTACAATTAAATCCTAATGAAATACTAACAGTAGGGGGTAAATTATTATTTATGATACGACAGAAAATTATTATTTACTGATAACTTAGAGAGAAAACTGTAATAAACTCTTACAAAAATTCCTTTTCTAAAAACTAACAATAAGTTACTTGTTCACATTGATAGAGGACTCAAACCCAAGTCTTCATACTATATATATATAATAGAATCAAAGCCATTAGACTAAATTTAGTAAAAGACAATACAAATAATCGGAACTTTCTTAGATCAATTCCTAAACAAACCCTAACCCTAGTGTTTTCTCAAATCAAATTCTTAACTAAATTTGATCTAAACCAAAGAAATTGGTGGCATCATTGGTGGCTTTGTGGAATTGAGTGGCCACTACAGGTAGCCAAAGGCCAAATTGCGTCTATCCCAACATAGTCAATCATAATTTTTTTTTAAATTTTTTTAAATTTTTTTATTATTTATTATTTTTTAGGGTGATTTTGGGTTTTTCTTTTAAAATGGGGATATTTTAGGATTTTGTGTTTTGAAATGATTATGATTTTTTCATAAGTAAAATATATTAAAAAATAATTTTTCGAAAGAATATTTTGCCTTTTTACGATTTATTTTAACATAATATATATATATATATATATTTTTCACTTTTGGGTATATCATTGTTAGTTTTTAAGATGCTAGGAAGGCTATATATTCAAACCAAATCTTAGGTAGGTTGACGTAATTTTCCCTTCAAATGTTGACGGCGAATGGTGGGTAAAGAAACGTGGTGGTTGTAAGGCAATTGAATAATAGTTAGATGGATTTCATTATTTTATTGAAAAAACCTATTATAACACACCATGCTATTGCTATATGGACAATTTCACAAACCCATGCATACACCTTATATAATTATACAAATGATTTATCTTTGTGTGATTACTCAATTATGAAATGCAGTCGCTGGTTTTTGAAAGTATCATACACCTTATATAATAATAAAAAATTTCTAGATATATCAAACCTATTGTTATGGTTGATATAGTTACTCCATAATATTATAGATTATTTTTCTTATTTTTTTTTTCTTATTTTTAATCATTTTTTTTTTCTTATTTTTAATCAATTCCAAATTCAAAATATGATGTTTGATTTTATTTTCTAGTATCCAAAAATGAAAATAGTGCAAATACATTTGTAGTCATTTTTTTTATAATAAATAAAGTAGAGGATAAAAGTATTCTTTTTTTATAAATAAATTTTCCCTTATATATATACTGTCGAGGATTGTCTAAAAAAGTAGAGAATAAAAATGCATGGAATTTTTTTTTTTTTTTCATGTTTTAGTCATACATATGATTCTTTGTTTTTCCTATTACTTGTTTTAGGAAACGAAAATTATTTGTGAGCAAGAATTATGTTATAATAAAATCTAAGTACGACTAGTAATCCAAAAATCCCTTCTTTCTTGTTTCTTTCATTTCCTCTAATGCAAATACATCTGTAGTCATTTTTTTCATAATAAATAAAGTAGAGGATAAAAGTATTCTTTTTTTATAAATAAATTTTCCCTTATATATATACTGTGGAGGATTGTCTAAAAAAGTAGAGAATAAAAATGCATGGAATATTTTTTTTTTGTCATACATATGATTCTTTGTTTTTCCTATTACTTGTTTTAGGAAACGAAAATTATTTGTGAACAAGTATTATGTTATAATAAAATCTAAATACGACTAGTAATCCAAAAATCCCTTCTTTCTTGTTTCTTTCATTTCCTCTAATTTTAACAACTGTCTTTTATCCCTTTTTTATATATTCAGTGTTTTTTTTTTTTTTTTTCTCTCTACTTATGTTCAACAAATTTAGGGTGAATTTTTTTTTCCTTCTCTCCAAGCTTAATTAGCGTTACACCATAATGAAATCCTTGGCCCTAAATATGCTTTCCTCCCATCATATTTTTTAAAGCTGTGTAAATTTTTGGTTACCTTTAATACAGAGACTTTTAATACATATTTCAACGACAATTCTCTCAATTAATTTCTTCTCTACAGTTATAAATGCTTTAAGATTTCTTGCCTACCCACAACAGCCATTGTCCGAACGTAGAATTCAATACTGACTTTATTTAAGATCAACCAGAAAGTCAATGAGTTAGTTGCAACTTAAGAAATAAATGGTATAAATGAAGGTGATAGAGAGTATAATAGCTGTAAGGGAAGAAAATAATTGAATAATTTTGTTTTAAACTAAATTCACATGGCCCTATTTATGCCTTTCATCGACAACCACTTAAATTGCCCCAGACAGATTTTACATTTTGGGGGAGAAAGTCTATCAGTGGCCCTTCCAGTGAAATTTCATCCTACCAAATTGACAAAAGATTTTAACTAAATGAGATGACATTTATATGGGGTTAAATACATTCTGGTTCTAAGGGTGATTGTCATCAATGAATGATAATGGATAGTATGCTAATGCATGGTGATAAGTGGATGAAAGAGAATTTTGGAAATTATAATAATACATGACATTACATTATGGATGGTTACCACCGTGAGGTAAAGTGAGATGGAGAGCTCTTCATATAGATTTTTCTCTTCAATAAAAAATACTTACATGGACAGTCTCACCAAATCATATAATATAAATTCCTACACATGTTAGTGCTCTTTCCAAAACTTAAATAAGAACAATTGTATTTTGCTACTACATTAAATTAAAACATTTTGATACTAATAATTCTGGATGTGATAATCTCAAAGAGCTTTGAAATTTGAAGTAGAGCTACCTTCAGATTCCACAGCCTTAAGAGCAAGTTTTTGAGCACACCAAATCCTGTAGGGGCAATTAAATGGTTGGAGATGATAGACATGAAATGAGGGCCATGTGATTTAGTTTAATTGGGGGGATTGATTTATATAAATGCAAGATTTATTCAATTACTTTTTGCCCTTACAACTATTACACTATAGTCAACCTTCATTTCTTATTTGTAATATAATTCTCTAACAACTAATTCGTTAACTGTTTGATTGATCTTCAACAACAGTCAATATGAAATACTTTTTTGACCCTGCTCAATGTAAATTTTTAAGCGGGGAAATTCCTTAAAGCTTAAATTGATTTACTTAGTACTAATATTTTAGATAATCTCCACAATCATGGTAACACTAGTTTTGACACAAATGAAAACCTATTTATAATTAAAAAAAAAAAAAAAAGCTTCAACGTTGGCCGCATCAATTTCTTACATTATTGGTTTATTAATTGGTGGCAAGTTTCATTAATAGCTAATGCATGCATAGCATTAATTGGATAACTTGTGTTGCAGTAGCAGAATCTAGCTAGTTTAAGCTTCAATTCAAGTGAACTATATTTCCAGATACTTGAATAAAATACAGGGTATGATACATGGTTGATGAAAACAATTTTAAGGAAATAAATTATAATCATACATATCATTAACAAACGATATAATGAAATTTTGAAAACTCAAGAGAAGATCGTAATTTCAATAAAAAACTGCATAGTAGTCAAATCAATAATACTATATTTAGAAAAAAATCTTACAAGATTTGCATTACAAATTGCAACACAAAGGGGTGGCAAAAAAATGAATGGAAGATGGAAACAAAGTCAAACTCATTAAATTCTCTTTCATTTATTTTGATCACATCACTGTATGAAACCTTGTAAAATTTCTTTGTAAGTTTAGCATACCAGCAATCAATTGTGGTGATGATTTCAATTAGAGAATTGAAATTGCAGTGACCTACCAGGTCAACAGCCTGGAAAGCAAGTCTTAAGGCAGCAACTTTTCTTCATTCACTTCCTTTTTCAGAATACAAAATTGCTCAAGGCTTCCAGTATCTATCTTTCGTGAAATTTCCCCCCTCAAACCCCAACCAATCCCCATACTGTCTCCATTGTTCGCTGGTTCAGCCCTTGATCCGCGAAAAAAGCCTGCAAATCATCGACGCCACCGATACTCTCCGTTATAGACTTCGCTCGCATGCGTCACAAACACCCCAACTGAAGAATGTTCCCGGATTTTTAACTGGGGAGCCCGGGAACATCTTTCCATAAGCGCTAGTCCTTTCTAAAAAGCCTTTGGGCAATGTTCCTCCGGATTGCCTCTAAATGACCAAAGAAACTGAATCCTATTTTCCTCCAGTGTTCAGCTAATGCTGCTAGCTCGGAAAGGCGAAGGCCGAACCACACTACCGAAACTTATGTAGGCAACTGAAGAGTTTCACGTCCGTTTAACCATTCCAGACAGCCGTATTCAGAATCGGGAGGGCGGCGGAGATGTAGATTAAGGGGCCAACGTTCAGAAAAATTTCAGTCTTGACTTGATGGTGTCAACAACTGTAATGTCTAGTTCCTCCAGGAGTTTATGGCAACCGCGGTTGCATTCGGCAGCATTTTTCCAACTTGAGCAGCAAACTGAGAAGGTGAATCTATTGATCCGGAGACGACTCCATGGGAGATCCACTGCACGTATTGTAGAAAATCTGGAAGAATTCAAGGGTTTGGTCTCCGGTCCTGTATTGTAGGAAAAAGAAAATTTCCATCCATGATTTTTG